AACCCCTTTATAATTGGTCTTCATGCATCATTGATGAACAACATTCAACTTTTACATTAGGCTAAAATATTTATTGCATAAAAGTATATATGTTACACTCAATCTCCGAATTCGGACAATGTCCGAAATTTCTACCCACTCCGCGATGTGGATAGTGTGAAATACCCACGTCGCGGAGTGAGCATTTTATTCGGACATTGGCCGAAGTGAAATGCCCAGACCACGTTGTGGGTAAATTGATTTACTCAAATGCCGAAGTCATAACGTTCTTCGGCGAGTGAGTAAATCCAAAATACCCACAACGCGATGTGAGCAAGATGTATTGCCCACGTCGCGTTGTGGGTATTTCTAGTTTAGGCAAACGCCGAATTCACGTTCAGACATTTCACCCCCACCATTTGCACTATTTGCGATTAGGATGGATGGACCTGCACTAGCATTGTGTTTTCTTTACTGTTGCTGCCCTGTAGTGATACGCTAGTGATGGACAGTCCTTATCATCGAAAGATTATCTCCGAATCAACCGCTTCGATGTCATAAACATTGATGACAAAGAAATTTTAATTGTAAAAACAACTGGTGAAATGACAGATATAAAATATTTTTGTCGCATTGATCAAATGTATGAGACAATTCATTCAGCTCAATTGCGAGTTGGTCTTAAGAAAGAGAAAGCTATGGAAGTAGAGCTTAAAAAGAAATTTTGCAAGATTACCAGAGAGGTGATTAAAATATACTTGGATATGTTCGAACCTTGCTCACTGAAGAAAAAATCTCAAAGTAAAGGACTGGCCGTTAAACCCATCATTATTGAATTCACGATGTCAGGTAAGATTAGTTTTATTTTTTTATCCTTTCGCTAAATTAGAGTGACTTTAGAATAATGTGTCAATAAGTAAAAGAAAGATGTAACAAGAACTGTGTGATAATCGGTGTTTTAAAGTTACTCCTATTTTTGTAAAGCGGAAAAACGTATTCTCAATGTATGTGTAATGGACCTTTTTATATTTGTTCCTATTCGGTGATTTGCTTTTTATTTTCTAAAATGCTATTTTATACATTAAATAATTATAATCAAAACATAAATTTTATTTATTTTACCTAGTGATTGTGGATTTCATGTAGATTTTTGGGTATACGGTAGTTTATACAGGCTATTCGGCGTTTGCGCAAACTAGAAATATCCACTACCCGACGTGGCCAATCACTTTTGCTCACATCGCGTTGTGGGTATTTTGAATTTGCTCAATCGCCGAAGAAGGTTTTGACTTCGGTGTTTGAGTAAATCAGTTTACCCACAACGCGGTCTGGGCATTTCGTTTCGGCCAATGTCCGAAATAAAATGCCCACTCCGCGTCGTGGGTATTTCACACTATCCACATCGCGGAGTGGGTAGAAATTTCGGACATTGTCCGAATTCGGAGATTGAGTGTAACATATATAATCCGAAAACATGATCCACGTCATGACAAATTCTGAAACATAAGGTATCCATAATCAATGAGGTTTTCGTAAGAAACTCTTCTAATCTCATTCTTATTATACATCAACCCAGCTGATTTAGATAATATATAGGTTGTTTAAAGAAAAATAAAACCCACGGATTTAAGATATTTGGGAATGATACCTAAATTTAAGTATTATTGTAAAAAATTTTCTAATTTTAGGAAAGATAGGTCCTGAAAGCTACGCTGATTCCAAGGTAAAATCAAAAGTTTTTTGTATATGTAGTAGTGTGTTAACATAAAAAATTACTTTTATAAGAGTTATTAAAAATTAAGATATACTTAGCTTTAGAAATGAAACATTCACAACAGTAAATTCCTGTTTGCGTACGGGAAAGGCAAAGGCTAACAAACGAAAATAACTCTACTCGACGCAATGTCAATCTTAATTGGACGAGTAACAATTCTGTGTCAATTTTTGCATACTCCTCGTAGCTGTCTCCAAATAATATTTTCCTAGGAAGCTTGGCACGAGCCTGGGATTGTTTTTCACATTACTTCAGGCTAGACCTAAAGGTTGCGGCATTAACACTTAGATAAAATCCATTGGTGATTTGGCGGGATTTTAACCCGGGACCTCTTGGACCGAAGTCCCACGCTCTAGCCACCAGACCAGCTCGCTCCCCACCCCCTCCAAGTACATTAAACTAATAATAACGTAATATAAACCACGGTACATATCTTCATATAATCTTTCATATAACGGAACAACCTTTGCTAGTTCGCTAATTATTAATTTCGTACTTTGTTTTGTCTCAGTCATTCACACGCAAATTGCGAGTTTTTAATCCACTTGAAACCTCATTACAAATTATGAGGCAATGATTTGGAGGCAAAGTCATTCAATGAAATAGACTGATATGAAGATTTGATTGAAGACAGTAAAAGATCAAACACTACAGATTATTATCTATAAACTATCTAAAATCTGTTAAAACCTAAAACTACTTTGTTGTGGGTTTTGTTATTTCAATTATTACGCAATTATTAATGCTAATTTGGTCCTTCACCATCACGAATACTAGAAAAATGCCGGTATGTGTCACAAACATAAACAAATGACATTGCTGGCCCGAAAATAAACATTATTTAACATTGCTTGAATGGAATTTTCGAAATCATATGTTAATGCTATTAGTCACGAATACCAGAAAAATGCCGGTATGAATCATAAACATAAACAAATTACGTTTTTGGCCCGGTAAACAAAACCCTTAAACTAATAGTATAAATTATGGTTTTGTTTACTTTCGGGCCAAAAACGTCATTTGTTTATGTTTATGATTCATACCGGCTCTTTTCTAGTATTCGTGCTATTAGTAGTCAATAGGTTCGGGCCAGGAACATCGTTTTATGTTTATGATCCATACCGGTTCTGTTCAAGAATTCGTGGTCCTGTCATAACAATGTGTAAACTTCCACGATTGACGAGACCTTGAATAGTAAAATCTAATTTCCTTATGAATCCGCCCTTCAACTTAGAAGTTAAAATGTTGTTGAGAACATTCCACAATCTATTATTCAACGTATTTAACGCAGTATTCACAGCTGATTTTACAAAGAACGGAAACATAAATCAATAAACCGGTTTCAAGAAGAGAAAACCCACTCCGCAATAAATTATCTGTTTCGCAAAACAACCATTAAACAATCGCATTGGTGACGTGTACACAATAAACAGTTGACATGTTGCGTGGCAGACGACTGCGACTCAGTCAACAGCTGTTAATCAGCTGATCTGGTCAATGTCAGCCCAGCTGTTAGTAGCAGTGGCAGTGTGATCGCGGTGGCAGTGGCGAGCTAGTGTTATTGTGTATCGTTGTAACATACTGTACTGTGTAAAATATTTTCATGTTACTTGTATTTATGTACGTCGTTTATAATGTTCAACATAGTTTAAATATGACAATTTTGTGAAGTGTAACCTCTGTTAACTTGTGGAACTTATTCAGGCTCTAATGGAGATTATGGTGAGTTTAAGAGTCGATGTTAGAGTTACGCTGGCACATTTTCATAATCGATCAAAACAAATTGTTGTATATTCTCAACTATAATGGAATTATGTTTCAAAATTTGCAAAACTTACAAAAGATGTAGGGACATTTTTAATTGTTGTATTTCTTTATTTAGTTTTTTTTTTTAGTTTACATGTTTTTAATAGAAGTTTTAAACCACCAAAATTTTGCCCACAAAAAATAAATATAATTACAGTTCAATCAAAATGTTCTTAAAACACATTAACATAAAAAAACATTTCATTTGTGGACATGTTGCGTGCATCACACACTTATTTTTTGTATTGCTGTCTTCCATATTCTATTATACTTCTTATACTTATTGTGTGTGATGGATAAATGTTTGTGTGTTTAATCGGATAAGACAAATCCTGGGTGACAAAAAAGACAAAAATAATGGAGGATGAAACCCAAAAAAATATCACAAATGACTTGCCTTAAGGCAAAACATTAAAAAAAATTGTTTGAAAAGGATAAAACTGCATAAGCATAATAGTAGAACAGCACTAATTTCAAATTTTGCAAAAAATTCGACAGCAGCTGTTATAAATCATTTAATTGTTGTTTTAAAATGTGTTCATTATAATTATAATGCTTCCTGGATTGAAAATACATTTCATCAATATGTTATGTCACCTCTTGCTATCGGAAAACTTTGGACTTGGAACTGCAAAAAGTAACATAAGCTATTTATTTTGTATATTATGTATATTTTTTTTCTAGGACGCTAGGCACGAGCCCGGAATTGTTTTACACATTACTTCAGGCTAGACCTAGGCGGTTACGGCATGATCACTTAGATAAAATCCAATGGTGATTTGGCGGGATTTGAACCCAGGACCCCAGGAACCGGAGTCCCGCGCTCTAACCACTAGACCAGCTCGCTCCCCCATTTATTTAGTATATTAGTTCACCAATTTATAAGAAATATTTATCATTTTAAGACAGACCAGACTACAACCTCTGTTTGTTGTAGGTGGCTCGTAATGGAGTGATGCCTCACACGAAGCAGCCCAGCTCACTGGTGTGTCTGACACAGACCGCATTGGCACATCAGCTGGTGTCTTTGTGTCGCACACTACAGAATATTGCGCAGGACACACACCAGCACAGACCAGACTACAACCTTTGTTTGTTGTAGGTGGCTCGTAATGGAGTGATGCCTCACACGAAGCAGCCCAGCTCACTGGTGTGTCTGACACAGACCGCATTGGCACATCAGCTGGTGTCTTTGTGTCGCACACTACAGAATATTGCGCAGGACACCACACCAGCACAGACCAGACTACAACCTCTGTTTGTTGTAGGTGGCTCGTAATGGAGTGATGCCTCACACGAAGCAGCCCAGCTCACTGGTGTGTCTGACACAGACCGCATTGGCACATCAGCTGGTGTCTTTGTGTCGCACACTACAGAATATTGCGCAGGACACCACACCAGCACAGACCAGACTACAACCTCTGTTTGTTGTAGGTGGCTCGTAATGGAGTGATGCCTCACACGAAGCAGCCCAGCTCACTGGTGTGTCTGACACAGACCGCATTGGCACATCAGCTGGTGTCTTTGTGTCGCACACTACAGAATATTGCGCAGGACACCACACCAGCACAGACCAGACTACAACCTCTGTTTGTTGTAGGTGGCTCGTAATGGAGTGATGCCTCACACGAAGCAGCCCAGCTCACTGGTGTGTCTGACACAGACCGCATTGGCACATCAGCTGGTGTCTTTGTGTCGCACATTACAGAATATTGCGCAGGACACCACACCAGCACATGCGCTCAGTTTAGCACAGACTAGACTCCGGCCACTATGGATATCATCTTTGCCTGGATGTGTGCGCACGGCTCTACTGGAGGAAGGTATGTAACAAGTTCATCATACTGCATTTCTGTGTGATTACATCATTAATTTTTTTATGGAACTGTTTATTTTATACTGTTTTAAAAGCATATTACTTTTTACATGATGCACACGTATATTACCTATCAATCAAAAGTTTGTCCTGAGACACCAGTAAGATTTTAAAGGTTCAATACTTGACTTTTACCCTTTCATTCAATCAATCATTGGGTTGGGTTACAATAAATGGACTTTGTTAAAGAAACATCTGGTCTTGATCAACAACAAAGCTATTAAGGGCATCTCTTTGTTTGTGTGAATCTCGACTAAGTTTTCCTCGACCAAAGAGCTTTCAATAAATTATCCTAGCTAAACACCTGATCTTGGCCAATAACAAAGCTGCACAAGGTAGGCTATCTCAATCCATTCTACATATCTTTGGCTCATATGGGTTTTATACACCAAGTGGCGTCCCTATCTCAATTAATGTAGTCAACATTTTTATAGCTGGGGCCTACAGGAGGCCAAAAAACTCATAATTTTAGTGAGTAACGTTTGATGAAAGAACGCCTAGATGGATAACAGGAAGCCTCCAGCCAACAATAATCAATCAATTAGCAAACTGATAATTTCCCACAACACCTGTCAATATATGTATCTTACATTCCAAGACATTAAGTGTATTTTGTATCACAGGTGCCACCATACTGGCCACTCCGGTGCCAGACACAGGTGCCATGGGTGCCGGGCCGGTGCCGATGTACCTACTGTCCCTCCTACTGGCACCTGACATACACAGACTGAAAGTGGAGCTCTGCTGCTACTATGGCTGCAGTCATCAAGCCGCTCTTCTGAGACTATTAGCAGCTCAAGGCAGCGGACTGGAGTCACTACAGCTGGCTAGATCTGCTTTACTCAGGCTTGGTAAGCATTGCGTTTGCGTAGCGTAGCAACTATTGATAAGACATTTCTTCATTCAGGTTTTGAATCAAAATATTGTTGAATTGATCCACTGACGGTGTGTGCATAAGTTACTGATTTTTATCAAATACACTAACTTTACAACAGTCAACCTCATCGCACCAGTTATTTAAGTTATTTTTAAGTCACGCCAATTACCTCAGTAAAACCCAGGCGGAAAATAGAATAGACTAAAAATGTTCAGTGGTTCATATGGATATCTCTTCGAGTAAAGTTGGTTGTGTTTTTCAAACTATCTAAAAACGCTTCATTCAGTAGTCCAGAACTCTGTATTTAGCAAATTATCCACCAATTAATTAAAATAGAATGCATTTCTGCATATGCATTTTAAGCACTTCCCACAAAGAATTTCTACTTTAACCAATTCTAACAATTCCAGACCACAACCTACTACAGACTGCGCTACTATCGGCCACCTCCCTCAAGGTGTTGGTCCTACAGAACATCGCCAGCGACTCGATCCTAAGCGTGGTCGGCAACTCCTGCAAGAACCTGACAGTATTGGATGTCGCTCACTCACGACAGGTGACGGACGCGGGCATCAGACAGCTGTTCCTACAAGTAGAGATACGAGACAAGACTGTACAGCCTAAGAATGTACCTACAATTACCAGCAGACTGAGGCTACGAGGCTGGGCTAGGCTGCGCAAAATGTTGTGGTAAGAAATAAGATGTAACTGTCAAGTCGACCGTTTTTAGATTGTGCGACCACGGTTTCGAGCCTTTGTAAAACTTATGCTACTTAATTGCTAGGTTGGGAAGAGCCGTCAAAAACACATATTGTTGAGGTAGACAAATATCTTTACCTAGATGACACTACAAGATGACTACTAGATGAGGTACTAGATGTCAATTGATGGATAAAAAGGTTTGCTGTGGTCAACTGCACCTTGGTGATAGAAATTTATATAGATAATTGTGCGATAATGTAGATAAATAAGGCGATAATGAAATTACAAAACATTTGACACACTCGTCTAACCCAATCTGTACTTTACAGGCCCCTGACCAGGCTAGGCCAATCAGAAACCAAGATGTCGGATGTGTCGTTCCTACTGCAGTACTGCGAGAGTTGCCACTCCTTGTGTGACACTATGAAGGTTCTCAACATTGCCAACACGGGCGTGACCAGTGCTGGCGTGCTACTAGCCTTGCGCTCCGCCCCAGGCATACAGAGTCTGGGCGAGTACTGCCACATGGGCCGCGCACTCGAGGTCTACCAGAAGGTACAGTGTATAAAGTGTCACAAGAAGTTTAAAAAGTTTGATTTAAGAACATTTTGAAACTCAACACAATTTATTAGGGTTTTAAATGTTCAGTGAAAATTTCGACTGCTAAACATTTGTAAGAACAGAATGGAATATTGAAGATTACAGTAATATTGAAGTAATATTAATATTGAAGTATACCAATTTATGGTTGGATTGGTTGGAAGTTATTTTTTAGATTGGCCATGTCGATCCTCAGATTAAACTGTGTGATAAAAAATAAATATATGGTTTTGAAGTTAGTATCTTTTAAACCCCTTTGACTTCCACCAGAGCAATTTTGTCAAGAAATAGTTGCAAGTGGAAGTTTGACTGTCAATCAACCTTAGGAGCTCAAAAAATTTAAGGATAAAAGGATTTGGTATTTTTTATTTATAAAATGTTGTACAGAATTAACTTAATGTTAAGTAGTTGTAGGATAAGTATTTTGATACACAAAATCCCTATTATTTGGATACAATCTTCCAAACAATGATTTTTAGGACCATACCCAATGATTGTACTCAATTGATTCATCATGGTTTAACAGTTTGGCCAGTATGATCCCTATCTTATCTCCATGTATTTGCAGGTGTGTGGTGCCACAGCCGTACCTAGGTTCCACCTGCGCTCGGCCAGGAGTTCCCGCACCAACCTCCAACGTCTGGAGCTGCTAGCCTCCGCGTGTCCCGAGCTACAAAAGCTGTCGCTCTCGGAACCTCATCACTCCCCCGAGAGTCTCTCCGTTCTACCAACCACCATCACCTCCCTCAGCCTTCACAGCCTACCCAACTCCCCCCTCTGGATCAGCAAACTGTTGAAATTCTTCGAGGGACCTCACGGAAGAGTCCTAGAGGAACTCGTCATCCGATTCTTCCTCCCCGAGTTCTTGACTCAGCTAGACCTCGGAAGTGTTCTAAAAAGCTGTCCAAACCTGAGGAACCTCATAGTAGACGGATCCAACGTCGATTGGCTAACGGAAAGCGATATCGAACTTACTAAATTGGAGAACGTCCAATTGGGCAAAAGTGTGACGGCCGAAGCGGTAATTAATTTAATGAAATCTGCGCCTAATTTACAGCGAGTGCACTTATACAGCTGTTTGGATCTTTTAGACCGACATTTGCTGAACATTCGGCATCCGCACTTAAAGTGTTTTTACATGTACGAAGCGTCATGTATATCGGCTGAGACTGTTAACACTCTGTTAAGCAACTGCAGTAATATTGAGAGCACCGGCAACCTAAGCAACTGGGGTTTGACATGCGACTCGCTACGCAACATTGTCAACTTGATACAAGACAACAATCTGGAGCTACAACTCAACGGAGGTTCTCATTGGTTCTGTTCACAATGCTTCCCCACCATCAACTAACACTTTCTTGTTACCATGATGTGTATTGCTTTAGTCAGTCGATATAAGAAATGTTTATGTAATTGATTGCTTGTTTCTCGATTTTGCTAGTCCCTGTATAAAGTTTTGTCCTAACTATAAAATACTCTTTTTATACAAATAGCGTTTCATTTATAAACCACTTTCACCTTTGCTAAATGGCTTGTAGTAGTACCTAATTTGGTTGAAAGTTCTTTGTCAAAACTGTCTCTGATACTTTTCACGTAAAATCCACAAAACAATGGATTCATTAAAAAACACATCTAATCTCAGATATACACCCAGTATTTTATCAAGACTTATGGCCATAAGATTAAGAGGATTAAATAATTCCTGGGCACTATGACATTTTAAGTATATTGAATAGTTTAACATGGCTCACAAAACAACTTGTTCTTATAGAGAATTTTTCTTACACTACTTGTTTTGTTATTTAAAACTAACTACAAACCCCAACTCGGCTTTAATGTCTTTTAATGTTGAACTTTGTGTAAAGTTTACGCTTGAATTTTGACAATATTATTGTTCTAGACATATTCATTTCTAGACAAGCATATTGTCTAGGTCTATGAAAATAAATCTTATTGTTATCTTTGCTCTGATGGTAATCAGAAACAAATATCCCAAGTTAATTAATTTTGACTTAACGTCTGGTAAGTCCCTGCAATTCTAAGGTTTACCAGTTAACCTACCAATGTTACTGTAAGAGGAAGAATATTAGTGGATAGTTCATAATAAAAAACAGGCTTTAAGGGGAAAAAATCTACAGTGTAAATCAATGGTTGAGGTTGACCAGGGTTAACATAAGTTTTTTATGACAGAACAAGAATATTCCAGCTAAATAGAAGTTTTTAAAAGTTAAATAGTAAGTCTTTGTTAAATTCAAATTGATTAACTATGAGATTGATTAATAATGAGTCATTCTTTAGTCTATACTTTCAAAAATACTATAAATTAATATACCATTAATACAACTAATAAATGTTTTTCAGTTTTAAGCGAATTTCCCAAAGGCCCTATAGGGAATAAGCTATTACCGTAGGTCTCATGGTAAGACCTGGACCCAGGACCGATTTACTTTTTCGTTTTGAGGTCAGTAGGCTGAAGAAAAAGGTTTTCAAGAAACATGCTTGCCTATATAGATTATAGTTGAACAAGCCACTCAAAGTAGCACACTACATTCTGAAATTCTATTTTCCTAGTTTAATTACTTTTTTGCAGTTTTATCAATAGTCAAAGCTCTTTCTGTAATTGTGCACCTGTTGCCCGAATTCAAGCAATTTCTAAGTATTACCTAGGCGTTATTTCAAAACTAATAACACAGTCATAATTTCCGATGACTTAAAAGTAGAGATGGGCCGATTCCTGAATTGGTCGATTCCGATACCGATTCTACAACTTTGGTTTCGATTCTCGATTCCGCACTCGATACCGATACCTGTTAAAAATTCATTTAATAACACATATAACTTATGAACTTATGATAAAGCCTAACTTTATTTAATCTTTAAATACAATAAGATAACTGCATTGAATTTATTAAGGTTACATAGATTAGGTTAGCCAAAAAGGAAAAATAAGATAGGGCTATTTCAAGAAGACATGAATTTTTACATATTTTATTAAATTAATAATTAATTGACAATAATAATTAATTGAGCACAATCACCAATTTAGGTACCGGTAGGCCTAAAATGTTCACAGAGTTTTTTTTTTCATAAGAATTCACAATTCGTACATCTAGGCCTAGGCCTACAATGAATGTTCCATATTGCTTGAGTTATAAACTCAAAGTCATATTCAATATTGTCATCATCAATATCACTTAAATTACTTAAAGAATCATATAAAAAAGTCATGGAGTTTGTCACATCACTAGAACGGAGTCGGAGATCATATCCATTTTGAACAACTCAAACTCACTATGCACGCACAGAAAACAAAACAAACAACAAAAAACCAGAACATAGGTTAACCCTAGAACGGCCAAACGACTTTTTTAGTCGTTGGGTTACGGTAAGATGGTGGCCAAACAACTTTTTTAGTCGTTTGCTACAGACTTTTTTTCTAGCATATATTTGGAACTGATAATATGCAGTAATCACAACACGGATTATACCATTGGAAAGACAATCAAATGAGCTACAATTTCCATACATTATATACACATTTACGTCAACTAATAACGCAGGAAAAGTAAATAAACATAACACATATTTGAGTTTCGCGCCTCGCGGGCTTTATCGATCGGGCAGCAAGGGCATAATCAGCCATTTTCTAAAATACGTAGCAAAGCTATTCTACGTCGTAGATCATTTTGATTAGTACCACTGAATCCAGGGATTATTTCTCTACATTCTGTCCGTTGATAAATTTGTTCTAGCATTTTTAGTTTACAAGCTGTGATTTTTTTACAAAGCCTCTATAAACAAATTGCGTAAGAGTTTTCTATATGGCCAAACGACGTTTTTAGTCTTTTGGAAAACTATTTATTACTCTGCATGTATTTTGACGAGGAAAAAAAGAAACATATGAAAATAAAGGGGAAGAAATCCTCTTTCGAACTTACTATAATTGAAAGTTTCCTTCAGTGATATTTTTGTTTTTCTTTTTGGTCAAACTGATGCAATGTCTAAACACCTGTCGCGCCGCGGTCCGATGTTTTCATTATTTGGGTGCGTGCAGCTGTTGGTTTATAAACTAAAACATTTATTTTTGATTCTATGGTTACCTAGTAGGCTATACAAGTTTTATTATTTTGCTAAATAGATCTTTTTTGTTATGGTAAACAGCAACAATCATCCATTATAATCAAGAAAGGAAGAGTAATTTGTAGACAATTTAGAGCAAAACTTAGTGCTGGATCCAAAAATGTGTTTTTTTTATATTTTGTTGCTTCAAAAAATAAAAATATTTTTTATACCCAATAAACTATATATTTTCTAAATAAGCATAACATTTCAAACGTTTTGCATATCTTGAAATTTGTATAATCTAAATATTTATTTTTTTACTTACATTTGAAGTTCAACGTTTTTTTGTGATTTTCCGTAAGTAAAAACAAATTTCTTTTTTCCAAGTGAAATACTATATTTATTTTTTAGCTATTGCATGTAAAATTATATATTTTTTGGTTCCTTGTTTACTTCCCTAACAGAAAATATGTGTTGTTTTCATGTTTTTGATATATTTCTAAAAGTAGGCCTAAAAAGTATATAAGTATTGTAAAATTCAGAAAAAGTGCAGAGTTTTACACTTTTGAACATAACTCAAAATGTTTTATAGTAGTTTCAAATGTTTTGATATATTTATGTAGGGAAATCAAAGTAAAACAATTTGTATATCTTGAATTTATGAAAAGAAAAGAAATTTGATTTTTTGTGCGTCCATACTTTTGAAATTTCGTTTTTGTAAATTTAGGATTTTTATTTTTTGTTACAAAAATTTATTTTTATGAACTAGATTTTTATATTTGATTGATATATTTATATTCTATAGAATGTCCCGAATCTGATGGTATAAAATATTATATGTTTTGGTAAATAAATAAGGGTTTTACAACTGTCAGAGTAAAACGCTGCACGGAAGGCAAAAACTGCCTGGCCCTACAGAAACACTTTATGTGGCCGTCCTAGTTAAACAATTCATTTGCCATTTGCAAACTCGTGACAGCTGTTTCAGTTCAGTCATAGAGAAACAACATAAAAAAACCGATAAAAATACATCGCTAAATGGCTTTCTACAATAGTCACCATGAAGCCCTGAATTAGCTGAACAGTTCGTGGGGTCTCATATCTTATAATGTCATAGCTTATAATCGTGAATTTGTTCCATAGCTTATAATCAGTTATAAGCTATGCCACACTTTCACAAAAAATTATAAGCTATGCCACAATTTGAAGTTAGAAAATGCGAGTTAAACCATTGACTATATACACCTTATGTGTATTATATGTATATATTAAATGCTTGTACCATCTGGCAACATTGCCTTTGATCTGACAACATGGTGGCAACTAGAGTTCTGATAGGCCTAGTTGTCTTGTCTTGTCACTGTTGTCAAATGAACACAGCTGGTCGTACCCATTGCTACTCGTTCTGAAATGCAATGGCAATCTATTTTGGATTATAAAACTATTACGAATGTGAGATAATGAACTTGGAGTTATTTATATTAGCTGACATCAGAGTATTTCAAATAAACTATGATGTGCCACTTTTTACAACCTTCAATGTCAGTTGAGTTTAGCATTATTAATTAACCTCACTTTTCAGAATCGGTATCGAGTACAATGAAGCAAAGTATCGAGTATCGGCGATTCTTCGATACCACTGGTATCGAAGGTATCGAGGTATCGAGAATCGGAATCGGCCCATCCCTACTTAAAAGAGTCAACTCAAAGATGATGTACACAATCACTCCACTCTAGTTATCAAAACTGAAAACGAACTCAATCTGAAAACAAATGCTCTTGTGTGTATGATGTGTTTACTATTAACAGCTATTAATAAAAACTATTTGTCTGTTTAGATAAACAAAATCTTTTCTTCATAAGAAATACATCGGGATTTTGATGGCCTGTGGGGCGAAGCCCGAGGACTTTTTTTTACCCGAATTGGTAAAAGGTCTACACAAAAAAAAAATTAATTTTGACACGTTGTTTGTAAAGATCCGTCCATTAGTAATGGAGGAGTGGTGTTTCGTAGAAATCACCTTCTTGTAATGATTTGTTGTGAAGTCTTGCTAGGAAACTCTTTATTTGTGAACCAGACTTAGTTAACAGATGTTAAAATAAAAATACAAATTCCAGCTTTGCTCTGGAAGTAATAAGTCCTGCAATCTATGGTTAAAATGAAAAACTAACGATTTAAAATTACGTCCATATGTTTAGTTGTATACAAAGGGAATTGAGTTTGATCGAATGTCAACAGATGGCGCCGCCGTTCCCATTCTTAACCGTACTCAAGTGATGCTCTCTCTTAATATTCTAAGACGTATTTGCACATCTACGTGAAATTACCTTTAATTTGACACCTCAAACGTTACAATCCGTCAAGTAGTTAACGAGTTATAACTGTGAAAAAAACCTGCTTTCGTATTAATATATAGATGTATATTGTTTGATCTTTGGAAGAAAAACTTCTTTCCAACATTTAACTTTAAATCAAGAAAGGAGAGGGAATGTGCAATGGTTCAGATAACAACTGATTGAACTACAAAGTACTACGGTGTGCATAAAGTTTCATCTACTCACCTCTCTAAGTCCATGAGTGCTTAGAACGGCGGCAAGTAGTTTCGTCTCGGCTTGGTACGTCTTGTAAGTCATATGGAGAACATCCGCAGGCGGAGCAACAGGAGCTTTGCTCAACGCTCCACACCGGAAATGCAAAACACAAGATCGACTACCGATGGGACCACCTATTACCCACGGGTTTCCTCCAACCGGATCCTTTTTAACAACAGATTCTTCTTCCATCTGAAAAATGAAGGGCACATATTAGTTCTTTAAGAGTAAATTGAGTAACAATAATTTGTTAAACATTCATACCTAATTTAACTTATTTAGCCGCTTAAAACAGTGCAATAAACTAATTGTATAACAAAGAATTTACTTTAGTCCGTTCACAAAATTTAGGCGGTTAAGAGTAAGTTCCTACAAAACTTGTTTTCTTAATATAACTTAGGTATAATACGTTTTGGCAAACCTAAGCTGTTGATCTAACTTATATTGTTTTTAAGGTAGGATCAAGTGGAGGAGATATATTTCTTTCCTAAAACCACCTAAATTTTATGAACGGAGTAGGACTAAAGTATCACCTACTATAGTAGGTATGTTGGAGAACATTTTTAATAAGCCTTCTTAAAATTGTTGTCTTTAGACCTATGGATGAAAAAACAATTTGACTTATGTTATTGTAACTTTTCTCCTTTAATTTGTTTTAAAATATAGATCTTCAAGTGCTGCTAAACTTAATAAATTAGCCTAGAATTGAGGATAAAAGTGTTGGTTAGTATGTACCATAAGTTACTTTCCGATAGAGATTAAGTTCTTGAAAATGCTTAAGTACTTAGGTACGGTACTTACCCAAAAAGAATCTCACTTGGTTAAACAAAGTTAAATATGAAATTAAATTAAGCAATCAGTACCATATTTTCCCTCGTAACAAACTTTTAAAAAGCTTCAAAATAACAACTTACATTCAAATCATTCACAAATAAACAATACAAATGCCGGTAACTTAGACATAAATTTATGTTTATTTCTTTTAGGAAATAATCGTTTCAGTGGAAAGGTATAAAACTATTAAATATGGTGTGTTTAAGAGTTAAAACTCTATAACAATGTACCGTTTAAACTTAGGTATGGTTTAACTTAGGTTGTACAGTAACTTAAGTTATTAGGTAAGTTAGATTGTATTATTGCTAATAAATTAAAAACTATTTCTCAGGACAGGTAGACATATTGAACTAGACTATGAAAAGAGTTGTCAATGTAGTGTGAAGGAAGGGCCTATCAAAACCTAAAAATCCCAAGTTAGCGATATGGCCGAGAGGCATTCACTTACAAACTCCCTAGGCAATTTTTTCTTGCACCTAGGTTTAATAGGCTTAATAAGGCTAGGTTTGATAAGGCCTAGAGGCAATTAAATAATTGCCAATTATTTAATTGTGTAAGTGAACCTATTATTATTATTATTTGGGTCAATAAAATTTAAGTTTTCACTCAAGTAAAGATTAGGAATTAGTTTTCCCCCTATTCTCTATGATTTTATTGATAATAATCTAGTAACTTAAGTATATCACCCCAATAATTGCTAACCTCCAGAGGTTAAAACAAGGAATATACCTAAACTACGATAAATAGACTTTACAGTCTGCTTTCCAAATGATTTTTAATCATAGCATAAACTGGCAATTAACTTACCGTGTTGGGATTTGTGTTAACCAACAATTGGATTTATTTAATAGACCGCTATAAGTAATTTTGCATTTAGATTTACAACACCACAGCCACAAATAGCACTAACAAACGCCACGAGGGGTACTTGTCATAACAAGCAATAACGAATAGGGTATGATAACAGGAATGATGAGGTTGTTTTCAGTTGATGTTTAGTTGAAAGTTAAACAAATTAAATGCAAGCTCCGCGTCCGAGCCACCCTTTACTTGACATGTCATGCCATCTGGTGCTTGTCTCTCTCTCACTGTCTCTGATGTTTCTGAAGCTGGCTGATTGGCTGAAGCTGAACTGAAGCTCTGACATTGAACTAGAAAAAATCATGACGAAGTATTACATTACAGCTGATAACCTCTACATCTGTTAACAACTTGCAGGTATTCAGGAATCGTGTCTTACTCAAATTCTAAGCAAGAAAACTCACTGGTTTTAAACACTATATAGTGGAGTGTCCCGTATCTACTAATTCCATAGCGTCTATTAACATTTTAGTCTCATAATGTATAAACATTGACTGTCCAATAGCACCTAGAATGATTAACTAGTTCGATGAATCTCAAAAATATGCCATAGCTTCTAAATCCTGTAGAGCCTACATTCATGATCATGTGCATAAAGAACACAACCAGACTCAAACAACTAATTATTTATATAAAAAAACACGGATTGGAATGTAATCCTTCAACATTGCTTTGCACAACATGAAATATACGATGTTAATCTATTAAAGTTTGTCGTTTCTTAATGGAGGAAAACTTATATCTGAACAAACTAAAATATTCATGTTTCTCTTCCAATAATAAACAATAATTTACAAGTTGTATCGAGCAAAGATCAAACCATATTACTTTATATTAATAATCCTAATACCTTTGACTATACAACTTCAGTATTCCATAATCAATGCTAATACATACAAACACAATACGTTCTTTAACAGAGAGAGATACTTATAATAAATTCTTGGTTCGAGAACAATAAGTAAGCCAATGATGTAACTATTGAAGTTGTTGAAGAAGTCATAATAAAGCCACGGCCGCCTTTAACTACAGGCCGCGGCCTGGAGTTAAAGGCGGCCGTGATAAAGCACACAAGCTTGGTAGCTGCACAGCAGCTGCATGTTTATTTTGTTTGCTAGTTTTGAAAGCTAAAAAGGGAGAAATGTCAAACCGTAAAACTCAACCTGTCAACTGAAGAAACAAAAATATAAATAATTAATAAACTGTGAACTGAACTGGATCACGACAAGCATTGCAAAAACACCCAGTGTAATGTAGTTGAAAATACAATATTGCTAACATTTTCTTATCTATAACAATTATTTTCATCGCCTGAAGATATATTTTTGAAGTGTTGTTGTTGGTGCTGAATTAAAGGCAGAAAACTGTTATCTTGATTGTATAATTAATTGCTTTTTACTAAGTTTATAGGTTAGTTTACCTCAACAACTGCAATGGGTCTTTTAACTGTAATTAAAAAGATGAAGCAGAAGGAGAAAGAAATGAGAATTTTAATGTTGTATCCTTTTAAATTTGGTTTCATAGGTTCACAGGTAAACATTGAATAATCAGCAACAAGTAACTTAATAACATTATCATGCCTAGACTAGCATAATCAAGGCCCTTTTACATTTTAAACCCACTAGTGTATTTAACTTTACTAAATGAACACATTTGGGTAACTTAGACTTCCGTATCTGTTGTCAAAAACATTTTTGTATTTGTATTTGTATCAAAAACCCACTAGTGTATTTAACTTTACTAAATGAACACATTTGGGTAACTTAGACTTCCGTATCTGTTGTCAAAAACAAATTAGGCCTAATGAAAATATCGATTATTCGATTGGCTGCACTTTACTTTATGTCAAAAAATGTACGTTTCATTTGATATATCGTTTGGTTAGTTAGGACTTATACAGAAGTCTAGCCTCACGGAAACTTTGATATCTGACTCCAGTTTTATAAATCTAACCTGGTTAAAATTTATGAAAACCAACTCACTCGTTTGGTTAAATGTGATTTCTGTACAAATTAGTACCGCTCATTAGTTCCTTAATTTAGTAGGCCTAAGTCATGTGATGTATTTACGTTCGGAAAGTAAGTTACGTTTTAAAAGCACCTCCGCACTACACTTGTGAAAAAATCGTATTAAAATAGTGTTGACACTTAAGTTAAACAGTCTTGTTGTTACCTTGACTGTATATATGGGTTGTGACTTACCCTCTATATATATTTTTTGCTGATAACGTGTCAAAACTAATTCAACCCAACTCACCAGGGAAGGTGTTAACAGTACCGTACTAGCATAAAATCCTGCGAGCTGCAAGCCTCTTGTTGCAACCTTCATGATCATACCGAAAAAAAAAACTAGGCCTACTTCCTGGTCTGGCAGCGTAATATACTAATTAGTATTGTTTTATTGTGAATTTTTGTACTCTACCAGCCCACCTCTTGCTTTGCGTGATATATTTTACCCACAGGCTTAAGGCCTATTTAGACGAACAAATTCAAGATTAAAAGATGACGACGTCTTTAAAAAAACTCTTGGAGGGGAGAAAACTAGGAGAAGAGAATGTGAAGTAGCAGTTCGGTAGTTGTATGTTTAATTTAAAATAAAACTATTTTTCAATCTTAAACTAACCAAATGGGAAGTGGATTTGTGCGAAAAAGTCTTTTATTCATGGTTTTAAAGCATGGTTGGTTCTAAAATATTATCCTTCTCAGTAGAAATAAGATATGACTTTAATATATTTGTTGTCTCCTTAACTCTTAATTTCAGAGGATTAGACAATGCTGGTAAGACTACAATTTTGAAACGAATCAATGGAGAAGAAATTGATACAATTTCACCAACATTAGGATTCAATATAAAAACATTGGAACACAAAGGGTTAGTAGGCCTATTTAGCCATTTTCGAAATGAAGGTTGTCTTAATATAGGCTACAATTTTTATTAACGTTTTCAAAATGTATATCCGTGGATTGTGACGGACTATGGATTTAATGGTGTTTACTGTTCATATCACAAGCTGTTAAGCCCTACATTAACCAACACCTTTACTAACTGAAGAATTAGGCCTAGTTATAAGTTGGTTAGTTTTCTTTTGGTGGGAGTGGATGTTTTCTGATTTTTTTTACATATTACGTTTGTAGCGTAATCAAAAGGTTATTGTAGAAATAATAAAGTGGACTGTATATGGGTTATTAATTTAATTTTGACAACAGAAAATATTATGGACTTTTGGTTGAATTTTTAACACTGAACTATAGTTATGTTACCACTTTGACGTTATTAAGGTCTTGAAAGAAGATCTGGTCGAATGTTGCTCTAGTTGAGAAGATATGTTTCATGAATGTCCAAATGTTCTCACAGTACACAGAATTTAGAGTCAAATTAAAAAAGGTTTATTTAATGAACACAAAAGGAAAAGGTAAATGAAATAAGTCAAAATAAAAGGAGAGAGAAATGAATTATGTTACACAAAGAAACGATATTACAAGAGAGAAAAATTGCACTTTTTGAACCAGAATGTTTACCTTGGAATGTTTACATTTTCAAATTTTTATTATTGTATTGTTGTTGACATGTGGGGATTATGCTCATATGGTCAGCTGGCCTTTTACTGAACAACGTTATTTTTCAACCAGTCTTCTGGAGGATCAGCCGAAATATCCGCTTCCGGACCACATGTACCTACAGCCATTATGTAGATATATCTATCAAACGTCGGAGTATTAAAATAACTCTTTAGATCGCCTTACACTGAAAGAAGTATTTTTTAGTTGTTAAATATTTTTGTAATTTCTTATACTTGAATGGTTTAATGTAGGTACCAACTGAATATCTGGGATGTTGGGGGACAAAAATCGCTTCGTTCTTATTGGCGTAACTACTTTGAGAGCACGGATGGACTCATTTGGGTCGTGGACAGCGCAGACAAAAGAAGACTCGAGGACTGTAAAAGAGAACTCTACACGTTGCTTCAAGAAGAGGTATGTTTGTTTATCCAGGAAGCAGCCAGGCCTTTAGCGCAACGCTTTGGTTGACTGTAAACCATGTATTATACAGTTGCAAAGACATAAAACAGTATAATCACTCCAGATATTTTGTAGTACAAATTAAACTATGTATTCCAGTTGAAGGTTGTTTGTATAAAGGTTAGACATCCCAAGAATAAAACTACCTGCGCAGAAACAAAAAGATCATGTGGTTCGCGCCGGTGGGTTTGGGGTACCCTCCAAATCTGCGCGGCGCAAAAAGGCTCAGGGTCGTTTTGTTTCTGGGATGTCTATAGTATAGCAGCAAAATTACTTAGGCCTACTATTTTAGTTTTCCGTACTAACACACTCATGACCCCGTTTATTCTATTGTATCCGGTTAGTAAGGTAGGCCTAATGTTAATACAATTAAATATCAATATACAGGGTGCGGCAAAAGTCAGTATACCGAAAAAGCAGTTAAACTGTAGCTAGCATTAAACATAACTATAAAAGTATAATTTTAATATACCTGTTAGAGAAGCTGCTCAAAGTGACCACCATCATTGTCTATACACTTGTAGCACCTTTTCAACACTGACTTACAGATTTTGTTGCATAGTTGTGGTGTGAAAAAAACATCAAAATGTTTTGTTATTAATTCTTTTAAATGTTCTAAACATTGAGGTTTCTCCGAAAACACATGTTCTTTTAACCCTTTCAGTGCTATGAAACGATATATCGTTGTTTTAAAAAATCTCTAAGGGATATAGAGAGGAAGGTTATTTTAACAAAAAATAGCAAAACGGCCATTGGTGACCTGCATGTTCATAGGATACACTATCAACCACTTAGCTAAAAGATTCGCCCAATCCGATGATTTCGAGGTGTATGTCTAAACCAAGGATTATGAACACCTCACTATGCCCCAGTGGTTGTAGTATATCGCTACAAACGCACAGGTCACCAATTATTTGCCACACAGGACGGGATTCGAACCCGAGCAGACGAATGCCACTGGCCAAGTGACACACGCCCTAGCCTTCTCGGCTATCTGTGCTTGAAGACTGGGGAGTCAAAACCCGGTATTTAAGCTGTCGCCACCGATTGCGAACAGATGGCGCTACAGATGGTTGTTCAATGCGTTACCAGGTAGCAGCACCAGTTAGTCACGGACTATTTAGATGCAATCTTTTAGTTTAAACACAACAGTGATCATAAATGTGTTCCTGAGACTTTGCTGCAAAACATTAGTTTCCCTAAAATGGCTATATTACGATAACCTCGTCCAACTAAATCAAGGTTAAATTCAATATTACATTGTAAACTATATGTCTTTTGATTTTATGAGATTTTGGTTTCAAATAATGCTATCAGAACATAAAAATTTATAGGAAAACCAGGAAAATTACAACAAAAACTAAGTTTTGTTTAATGTTTACTACAAATAGCGGGATTTATCTTTCTTATATATTTTCTTATTGTGTTATTATTCAAAATTAGCCTAATTAATAAAATAGTGACAACATGACAGTTAAAATTCAACAACAGGTAATGGAATTAAAAGGCAAACAAAAAAGTCTTACAAAATATGAATTATTGGCCTAGCACTGAAAGGGTTAACAAACCCCACATACTGAAATCGCACGGAGTTAGGTCTGGGGACCTAGCAGGCCACTCAATAGTTCCTCTACGTCCTATTCATTCATCGCAGTTATCATTTAAAACTGCTCGAACATTTATTCCATAGTGTGGAGGTGCTCCGTCTTGCTGGCAAATAATCGAACGACGACGCAACTGTTCAAAAGTGGGACTGTTTTCCAACTCTAAGAACACATCTAACATCCGTATAATCACGATCGAATTTCCACCAATTTTTAAAAGAAAAAGTCGTTGCTATAAGTTAGTTTACGATTCATGATTAAAAACACCAATAATAGAAGTTAATAATACAAGCACTACACTCACCAACTTAACTTCACTGTCACTAGTGGCATACTAACAAAACAAACATTCATCGATAAAGAATAAACAAAGACAAAATCAACCACGACTAGACGTCAGATTAGATAAGGAATAACACTGAGATAATAATAGCGCGAGAGATAAACAATGACGCTCACCGGCCTGCAGCGGTATACTGACTTTTGCCGCACCCGGTATACAGTTGTGGTAAAACGCACCACAGATACTTTAAAACTGCTGTACCTGTATTTTTACATGATTTCAAACTATGCCGGTACCTAATACAACCTGTTTTATATATCATTTTGTTTGGAAAATTATGGGCTTCAATGTAACATATAAAACATTACAAAAAAATTTTCAACAACTTTTGTGGGGTTAACATTTCTCAAAAATTATAAAATAAATAAAAAAAATTATGTTTGAGCTCAATAAATTGTTATAATTTATAGGTCTACAAATATATTAAAATAGTCACTTTGTTCAACATTTTGAGGATTCCAAAAATATAATAATATAAGGAAGTAGGTTTGCAAATAAATAAGTTATGGGCAAAAAACAGATTTTGTACATAGCATTTAGCTAAGAATGCATAGCCTAACCATAGCTAAGAATCTGGCTGATAATCTATACTTATTTAATACGCAAGCAGGTTTTTTGTGACAATTACTCCTCCGAAACTACTGAACCGATTGACATGTTTTTGGTGTCATTGGAAAGAGCGTAACGTGAAGTTGTGCAGGAAACCTTCTTTTTAAGGAAATAATTAGAGAGTGAGGCCCTGGGGCCCTTTAAAGTTTCGTATTTCTCCATAAGGATAACAAGGGATATAATTTTTATTTACAAAAACATATGTTTGTTATTTGAAAATAGTCAAAGTCTACTACATAATAATTGCTGTGTATTATGACTGTTAATGTATACTACATTTCAATCTAGGATTGTGTGCCTTAAACTTTACTCATAATGGATCTCACTACTTTATTTTCATGCTGGGAATAGTAAAATTTAGTTGAGAATAAGTTACCATATTTAGAAAATTTTTACTATATAATAATTGATGTATTTAAAATCACAAATCTTTGACATTATTAATTCATTAGAAACGAAACAGCTGATCGAGAAATCAAACAAATCATCTACTTCATGTGAATAATGTTTTTACACAAACATAGTTTTTTTTTTTTTTTTTTAACCAATAACTTGATTCTTTTTTACTTGTGGGTGATGTATTTTGAGTTTTCAGTTATGAAAACACCAAGCCAAGTAACTTTTATCTAATTTTCTTTATAAACTAACAGTATTAATGAATTACTACATGAACTTGACAAATTAGGTAATTAATTGTCAGTATGCCAAGGGGAAGAAGAGTGGGTCCTCGAAAACAGACGAAGGCGGTGACACCCATCTAGAAGATCCAACTGAGTTTTTAAATATAGAGGTCAGTGGATTGCCAAGACACAGATACTAATAAAAGGGGGCAGTGGTTTTATCTACATAATTAATACGCTACATGAAACTTTGCCGGTTGAACTCCTCCGCCATTTCATAACCGATTTTATCCATTGACATCTCATTGGAAAGAGCGTGTCGCGTAGATTTGCAAACTGGCCTTACATTTTTGAAAAAGTCCCTTGGGCTCTGCCCCAGTGGCTGTTAAAGTTCCCATTTTATCCTTATGAAGAACATAATTGTTTACATTTTGATCAGCTGTATAATTTAATTGCTGTTATTTATTTTTCAATTCAATGAAACGCATTGAGTGCATTTTATACTATTTGAGTTTGTGTAAACATAACCATAGACTAACCAACACGAGTATGTTTTATCTATGACATAACCCTCAAGACGGATCGTGTTAGTATGGTTGTATCTTAAATTTGTGTATTTATCGTTGTTTTGTGTCGTTATGATGGATCGTGTTAGCATGATTGTAACTTAAACTTGTGCATTTATTGTTGTTTTGTGTAGCTATAATTTGTTTATTTGTTGTTTTTTTCTTCTTTTAAATGCCTCCGACGTGACGAAAACGAGACATAGACAGGAGGCGTAATCGTGATGACAACCGCAGCTACAGACAGTGGCGCGTAGGCTTAACTCATCACAATCAGCACCTGACCCTGTACAATCACAACTATGAGGCTACAAAATGCGCCCTAATACTACCCCAAAACGACTTTTCGTTCTCGATTGGCCCTCTATCAATGACCTGTGTTGCCTGTACAGCGAGGAATTTTACGAAGGAGAAAACCGGCCGGAATGCTTTAGGTTTATCAATAACGAAGATAAACATGATCTGAGTTACACACCAGTTATCTTTGAGGTGACTCTTTTAAACTCATTGTAAATAGTCTATGACTGTTATTCGTTTTGAAATAACTCCTGTAATACTTTGCAATTGCTCGAATTCGAGCAACATGTACACTAGTTTAATCAATATCACTACCTACTTCTTCAGGATCATCAACCAGCCCTTCAAAATCACTTAAATCTTCTTATAAATGCACCACGTATATCACTACTTTTGATTTTTAACACTAAAACAATGATAAACGTAATAAAACACATCAGTCATCGGTGCGAGGTTAACCAAGCTGTTTACAAATACGCACGTCAGCTGTCTGCTACAATATTTTTGGAACTAAAATGAAAAGCGTCTAGAAACAGACATTTAGGAGAAAGCTCAGAATCTGCCGAAAACAACGATACCAATCTCGATCCAGTTCAATCTGATTCAGTCAGTCCCAGAGCCTTCGCCGTAAACAATGTTTGTGTGTCGCAAAAGCGACGCATAACACCACGGCGGGTGTGTTGTTTGTCGATTAAGTGACGCTTAACATTCGGAGGGTTAAACAGAATTAGTAGGGCCAAAATACAGAAAATAACCAAGTTTTCTTAATTTTCCCATCTTTTAACTGTTGGTAATTTATTTGATAAAGATTTAAGTGATCTCTATTAATTAGTTTATTATTTTTTAGCTAGATTAATGAATCCAATCAAGCTAGTTAAAGCCTATTCTGTTGATTTAATGTTCTGTAAAAATATGTGTGGTTAGTTTTTTATGGAGTAAAGTAAAAAGAACACTTGATTCAATTTTAAACTTTCTAAATCAGAGGTTCTAGGCAAAAATTTTATTGATTGTGGTATAGAAAAATATTTCAACCATAGTTCTCCAATGTTTGTACTACTAAATTCAGTACAATTGTAATTGTTGTGTTTTTTTACCACTAATATGTGGTATGTGGTTTGCTTCAGCGTTTGCTCGGCGCAACTTTGCTGGTGTTCGCAAACAAACAGGATCTGCCTGGCTCCTTGACGTCTGAAGAGATTAAAACGGTAAACAAGTTGTTCTTTAAATTACTACATAGATTGATTGGTTGATCATATTCCGTCTATGATATTTATTTGAAAACATTTAATCTTCTGAGCTTCTTGGTTAAAATTTTATTTTAGGATGAGACAAAATCTATTCTTAAAATACTAACATCGCAACAATGTTAAACATATCAACTTTATGTTTTCTAGTCATAAATAATTACCAAAGCTAAAAAAATATAGTACTGTAATATTAAACGGATAGGGTTTGTCTATTCATCATTCTGCTAACCTCAGTGCTTGTTTACTTCCTAAATTGCCTGCTTCATTTCGGTCTTTTCCACATATCAAAGCAACATAACAAACAAACTGCTGGGAAAGTGATGAATGTGTGGGATTTAAATAGGGACACATCTGACATGTTTCAGGAAATATTGTAGTGGAAATCCAATCTCCACTCATAAATTGTCAAAGACCAACAAAAGTAGCTCACCACTTGATGGCGTCGGAAAAGCCACATGTGTGGGCCAACCTAAACTTTTAATGTAGACTATTCTCACTAAGTAGATTAGTTTGTTAACGTCCTACCAAGAATTTCATTACTGTTACAGGTCGTAGAGTTGGATTCCATTAAGAGTCACCACTGGAGAATACTTCCGTGCAGCGCTGTCACGGGAGACAACCTTGTCGTCGGCATCGACTGGCTGGTTTCTGACATTGCTGCCAGAATCTTCACACTCGATTAACACGTTCCTGATTATTTAACCTACCAACAAGGTTTATCATGTAAACTATTTATTAACCCTTTTTATTTTATATACAATTTTTAATAAAGTTTTTTTTTTGTTTATAAACTTTGTCTATAATTCTATTTACAAGGCTGTGTAAGTAAGACTGGGACGGTGGCAACGTCCTGTAATCCAGCTACTAGGAGGTCACGAATTGTGGATATTTATAGGCATGTACTGTGGATACGATACTCCCTGGTGTGGATTAACGTCCGCACTAGTGAGTACTACGACTATCTGCAGTACTATCCTGATAATTAGACCAATTTGTTAATACCAAGGCAAAAATGTGGTTCGGATTCCACTATAAACTGTAGGTCCCTTAGTTGCCATTAGCTGTTTGGGCTATTTATTAACAGCTGTGTCTAAGGAATATGTCGGCCTTAGTCACTAACAAGAAGACTACAAGATCGCGCCACTCATCACTATTCATACTTGGCTTAAAATACCTACTTTGTATGGTCACCATTTCATTGAAAAGTGTAAAGTATAAAAGTACAATTATTGAGAAACTTTTGTGAGGTTTGTGGTACAGAGGACAACGGTGTCCCATGGTAGTCTTTATTATGATAGCTGATTTGCTTGGTATGCCATGCAGCAATCAAAGTCTACTCAAATTTGATCACTATCTAGAAGGAAATTGTGAACACACACTGTCTGCCTCGTAATAATTTGTACAACGTGGCAACTCCATTAGTCACTCATTGACATTTTTCTTATCTAAATACTTTTCTGTATAAACATCAGTCAACCCGTAATGGATTTCAATAGGTTTAGCCAACCTTCCCACTGAAATATAATCACAAAACAAAAACAGGTTTAAAATTTGGCGGAGAGCCTTGATTTTTCATCCCACTATTTTGAATGTGGCAGAATAGCATTGGATAAATTAAATATTACAATATTTGCATCAGATTTTAAGGTATATCCTTAATTGCGACAGAAACTTACTGTAGAACTTAATTTGCCGATAGCCTTTGTATGTTTGTAAAGAAATTGAATTTAGAAATATGAAAAAAATGTACACGTATTCCTATGTGAGATGCTTACACAGTTTAACATTAACATTAGTTTTGGTTTTAAGTTTTACCGACAGAGCTACTGAATTCGACAAAAAAATAATGTTGAGGTAATTTTAATAAAATCTGTCTTTAATTTTACTGTAATAGTGACTTGTGGTTGCTGAGGGAGAACATCGTCGTCCGAGGTCATACAATCTGCATACGCCTCACCTGAATAAAAGATATACGTGAAAATAGTACCAAAAACAAGAATCTTATACCAACTTAAAAGTATTGCACTGTTAAAAAAAAATCAATTATGTTTACAAATATTTTATGTACGGAATACTGAATATACGGTAGTTTAAATTAGTGTTCCAAAATTACGTTTTGGTAATCTACAAATTTTTTAAAATGGTTCTTTAAGGTACGTTTTGCTTGGAGCGACAGGTGTGACAGCCGCGCGGCGAATGTCGCCGAGCGGCTGTCGCGGGACACTGATCTTAAGGGTTTGCCTAGTCCTGTTTTGCTTGGAGCTACTGTCGCTAGAGCCGCGAGCTGCAGTCGCTGGGTACTGCTCCAAGACCAGTCAGGAGCGACAGTTGCTTAGCAAAGTTACATTTCTGATTGTTTTTATAGTGTAGAACATTTTGACAAGTTCGACGACCTTTTATTTTCGCTATATGGCGTCGTCGGCTACCCGGACAACGCCTGGGATTAAGTTAAATTTTAGTGGTGAGGAAATAAAACGACAGTTTATTAGAAGTAGTGGCAAAATACCCTGCGCTTTATGATTTAAAACATATCTCCTACAAAGAATAAAGGTAACGTCTGGTTGGCAGTAGCTGGTTAAGTCGGAAGATCAGGTTAGTTTAATTGTATGTTATTGTATTACAAGTTATTTTAATATAGGTATTTTTTCATCTACAATACAATCAACAAAATATAATTTTCACTCTGTGAGGAGGTTGTTTATAACACTGATATTCAATTCAAGTTATGCTTGTGTACTGCAATTTATGGAGAAATTGAGTAATTGTATTACATTTTGGCTTGTAACATGACAGTGTAGGAATGTTTCTCATAACAAATAACTAGGCCTATAAAGAATATTTAATTGTTAAGTTTTACCTGTTTTACTAAGTGAATTTATCGAATTTATTTAGTGTCTTTATACTTAGTGCTTTGAGGTTAGGTGCACTGACGGTACCACGTCTCGTGAAGCCAGGAAAAAGAAGTTGTCGCTCCAAGCAAAACAGTCTACCACCCCGCGACTGCCACTCCTGTCGCTCCAAGCAAAACGTACGTTTAAACAGCACTCACCTCTTCATTGATAGCCTCTTCGACTCGTTCTATTCCCTTTGTGATTTTACCGTGGAGATGTTTCAGCTGAAACATTGTTATAAGACAATGACGGAATAAAATATTTTTATTAGATTGTATTAATTCATTTACTGATAAAATTAGTCAACAAAATTATTTGTATCATTTAATTGCTTGGAAAGAATTCTGGAATGTGTGACAAAAACAACAAATTATGCTCAAAAAGTAGGTATTTTCCATTAGCCTATTGCTAGTGTCCATTTAACACGTTGACTGCGCGCGCCGACTTTAGTCGGCGTCGCCAATATATTGAGTCAGTGTGAGCTTAGCCTCAGACGGAGACGTTATAATCGTTGCCAGCCTGCCAGCTTAGAATGCGAGCTTTACTTTGGTGTAGGTTGGTACTAAAATTTCCCGTAAAATCCTGTCTGGCAATGCTTTTGTCCCGGTTTCGGGGATTTTTTCTCTTCAACCCACATTACAAAGACACTGGATACGGATCCGTGCAGTGCTGCTACCTTTGGGTGTTTCAGTGAACTACATCCACTCTCGGGGTAACGCAGCACAGTCACCACTGCTCTTATGTGATTCGTCAGACTGAAATATTTGAATGCCAATTGCATTCGCTGATTCGGTTGCGCGCCGGGGCTTCGCCCGCCACTGGGGAGCGCCTGTATAGTCGGCACGCGCAGTCAACGTGTTAATGATTTTGATGTTCATTATGCACAGTAAATTTATTTAAGAACATTTATATTTATTTGTATCCTTAATAGGGCTTATTCTACAACAGTACACATTTTCAGTGAAATACAATTGCATTACAATTACATCATAGGAAAGCCATGTATTTTTCATGTCGAACAACAAAAATATCATTTTAAGTTGAAGCTTACATAAAAAACAGTTCTCAACATTTAGAAAATTCCAGCCACCAGAGCTTGGTTTATAACTGTATTCACCGTATAAGTAGAGCCAACTTACCTTTGCAGCAAATTCATCTGTGGAGCCATCCGAAATCGTAGAATATTGATCCTCCTAAAAAAATACACAATAAAAAAATATTTGCAATCTTATATTTTCAAGGAATACACAATAATGTGATAATATTAAGAGATACTAATTGCTTTTACTAAGAGATAATATTAATACTAAGACAAGATGTTACTATGCATTCTACTATCTACAAATGGTTTTGTATGCAGTTTTAACAAATAGTTTCTGTTTAATTAAACAAATCGTTTTATTCATAATGTTCTTTTCTACACTATAACGCCGAAAGCTTGTGGAATAAAGCCAGCAGAGTTGATTTGTACCATGTAAAGTAGAGCCTCGCTAATTTGAATTTCAGAGGAAAGCAAATATATTTCAAATTTTAGGAAGCTTTAAATATAGAGAGTTTGAATTATAGAGGTCAGAATAAATCAAATTTGAATTATGGAGGACCAGTTTTAAGTGTAGAGAGTTTAAGACAACGGAGACTAATGAACACATCGTGGGAACATCAATAAGAGTGTCAGTTCATGTTTCAACAGGAGTATTTTTTGTTCTAAATTCTAATTACAGAGGCTTATGGTAATGCAGTTTGAAATGTAGTATTGTAGAGGTTGACTTCGAATTGTAGAGAGAAAAATCACTTTGAATTATCAGTATATTATTTTTTTGAATTTTAGAGGTTTTCTGAAGGGAACAGACAAACTTTACTAATTATAGAGGTTTTCGAACTATCAAGGTTTGAATTAGTGAGGTTCAACTGTATTAACATAAATAACAACTATATAAGTATTGTTTATATAATTACCGCAGCAACGTCCGCAGCTGCTATTTCGTTAAGCCTTGCCTCTATATTGTCTAGCCTCTCTTTTATTTCCCTCTGCAAGCAAAAAAAAATACAACTAATATAACTGCTAATCTAATGAAAATGAAAACTAATATTTTTAGATTACAACAGAGTTACCACCCATACGAATATATTGAAATCGAACGCCATCCGCAAAGCTAAATATCCAGAGAGGATGTCTCAAAAATCATAGAATCAAGAAGAATTTTTAGAAACAAGAATTGACACTAGGCAGAAAACTCAGTGAACGCCATCTTTAAAACACCACAATTGACTCGCCGATGATGGATAAAATTGACACACATTGAAATATGTAACGTTAATGGGACATAAATCTAGAGCTTCATTTTAATTATTTGACCATGCTGTACGGGGTTATTCAAGCTGTTTAACAAACTCACAGGACTCAACTGCTGCATAGTCTTTGGACGAGCGGGAGTGACAGATTGTGCCGTCGTGTCTGAACTGCCTGGGTAGCCACTGTCACTGACCGGGCTCTGAAAAATGAAAAATTTAGTGACTTGGTAAGTTTAATATAAATGAACTCAAATATTGTCCAACTCAATAAATAAAAGCAAGCCATGTAGGCACTGGTCCCTTGAAGCATTTTTGATTGGATAGCAGACTTACGTAGGGGAAAAGTCCACTGTGGCATAAAAAACTACTTAAAACAGAATATTTTACATTCACCGACAGCATTGTCAAGAAAACTTCCCGACCAAACCCTTCCTTGGTAAAAAAAAAAATCACACAGTGACATATTCTAATTTGTGTGTCTTGTGTAGATTGCACCCTTTTCAATTCTGGTAAGCCTGCTATCCAAACCAAAATCCCTTAAACCTTGGTCCTTATGTGTATGTTTTCTAGTGGAATCCGTCTAATAATCAAGTATGCCTCAATACTTTTGATACAATAATATTTTTAATTAATAAGTTTGTTGTATAATTGTTCTGAATTAACAAACGGTACCTATCAGTAAACTGACACATACAGTATTTTCTACCAAAATAATGGGTAAGTAACTTGTTTGGTAGATGTAGTAACTTGGGGAAAATTTTGCCAACAATTTTTTTCTCAAAAACAATACTTTTCCTACAAACTATGTATGTATGGGGGGGGGGAGGTTAAAAGTAACAATGCCAAATACTAGAACTATTTTAAGTCATAGAGGAACCTTCTGGCCTGCAGATGTTGGGCGTTTTTGCGAGGCAGACTTTTCTCTTTGAGGAGTCATTATTTGGCGTTTGCTTGGCTGAGCACCCTGAAAAAAAAACATTGTGATTCTAGAGAGTTGGTAACCAAGAGATTAAACAAATACTGATAAAAATAATCCCTACAAGTTGTTTATGGGACTTTGGTGCAAGATTAGAAGTTCTATCCCTGACATATACACAAAAATCTAAAGGGGCTTGGGACACTTTCCCTAATATTGAACAATGACGTGCTTGTGATTCTTTTGTACAAACTGCCACTTGCATGAACAAACACTAAACAACACAAAAAGGTTCGCAATAACATGATGTCTTAGACAATAGATTTAAAAAAATGGAATTGATACAATCAATACAATACTCAATTGGTGGTTTGCTAGCCCTATGAATTAATTAGTATGAATGAATACCGGTTTATCATCCACTGGAGAAATTGCGTCCAGCATTGCCTCTATCATGTCCAACCGTTCCCTCACTTCCTCCTGTAATAAAAAAAATCTAGAGAAGAATAATACATGTTCATGATTTAATCTCGCTTCTTGTAGAAATGGAATGAAAACAACAAACTTTTAACATAAAACGTATAAGAAATTTGTGATTTAAATATTAACAATCATACTAGGGTTATCTCACCGGACTTATCAGGTCAGGTGATGATGTACTCTGTGTCCAGGGAGAAGAAGAGTCAGGACTAGTCCAAGGGTATGGGTCAGCTACACCCTAAAAGTTACAAAATATCAATATCCCACTTAAAATGTACAAACTATTTATGATATCAATAAAAACTTATACTATTTAACTGCTTATTGTGGATATTTCCCAGAAAATATTATAAAAAAACAATTGGGGAACAATCTTTAATGTTCTTTAAAGCCTTATAGTTTGTTCAAATAACGACAGCAGTCAAGGATGAGACATTTACGGCCAATGAATTCAAACCTTATCCATTGGCTGCAGATAGGCCTTATCCCCAGCCGCTTTCGTTATTTGAGCAAAACTATAATTCTTTATTTTATACATAATTTGCCTCCAGGATTGATTTAATGACTTAAAATGAGGTTACTAACCTGTCGTCAATCAGTCCTATATTGTCGTTGATGACTAGTTTCGGGGCTAAAAACCCAATTTTCAAATCTTCTCGTTCAGTCGTCATATGTCAAACATATCTTCTTGCACAAGCCGTCGTCAAAGTTATTTCACACATAAACATAACACATACGAAAACGTTTAAATACCAGACTGCACAGTCTGGTTTTGTCCTTGGCCGGCCACACGCGAATGTACATGTCTTTGTATTGTATTATAAACGTTTTCGTATGTATTATGTTTATGTGTGAAATAACTTTGACGACGGCTTGTGCAAGAAGATATGTTTGACATATGATGACTGAACGAGAAGATTTGAAAATGGGGTTTTAGCCCCGAAACTAGTCATCATCAACGACAATATAGGACTGATTGACGACAGGTTAGTAACCTCATTTTAAGTTATAATTTTTTTTTTTACATTAAAGTAAATTTAATTCAGAACTACATAACACATTGTTTTTTGTTTTTTTATAGAGATTTTCAGTGACAAGAAGAGACCAAAATTATTGCATCAACAGATCAAAAACATACTTACATGAGGAGATTTAGCAGGATGGAATGTTGGAGAAGTTACTGATGATGGACGTTGAGTTTGTTGATTATTTGGACTCTTTTGATTGTTTGAAAGTCCTTGATTGTAGGGACTCCCTTGGTTATAAGAAGAACTTTGATTGTAAGGAGAACCTTGACTATACCCTTGATTTTCCGCCCTTTGATTGTACGGATTCAATGGGTTATCCTGAGCCTTTTGATTGTAAGGAGTCCCTTGATTGTTCGGAGATCTTTGATTCTCTGGACCCCCTTGATTGTAAGGAGTCCCTTGATTGTTCGGAGATCGTTGATTCTCTGGACCCCCTTGATTGTAAGGAGTCCCTTGACTGTTCGGAGATCTTTGATTCTCTGGACCCCCTTGATTATAAGGAGTCCCTTGATTATATGGAGATATTTGATTCTCTGGACCCCCTTGATTGTAAGGAGTCCCTTGATTATATGGAGATATTTGATTCTCTGGACCCCCTTGATTGTAAGGAGTCCCTTGATTGTTTGGAGATCTTTGATTCTCTGGACCCCTTTGATTGTAAGGTTGCCCTTGATTTTCTGGAGGAAGTTTATTGTGTGGATTCAATTGGTTATCCTGAGCCCCTTGATTATAAGGAGTCTCTTGATTGTATGGAATCCTTTCATTTTCTGGAGGCCTTTGATTGTTCAAAGTTCCTTTTGTGTAAGGTGTATCTTTGTTTTGAGGCTCTTTCTGCAAGTTAGTTCCCATCTGATTAGGAGTTTCTTGTTGTTTGCTTGGCACTCCTCTAGGCCCTGTCTCTTGCCCTTTTCTTTGGCCATAAGGTTCATTTTGATGCAGTCTTTCTTGTGTTTTATGCTCTTCATAACCTTCAGGCTGCTGACTGTATTCCTGAAAAAAACCCGTTCAGTGTTACAACAATTAGTTCACCTATTTAGTGTTTATAAAATTCATTAATGAGATTCCACCTTACTCGTCTACTCCCCATGTAATCGATCTTCTGTATAACGAAACACTGGTGAAAACTGGGTATGAAATAGAAATATCTAGTTAAAATATCAATAGTTGAAGGTTTGACTCACGGGATGATGTTGCGGAGTCACAGTTCCGGGTGATGCAGGTCTCGGTCTCGAAGTCGTTGGAGTTTCTTCAAACTGAACATTTGGACCCTCTCTCGTAGGGGATTTTGGTTTAGCAGGTGTCTCTCTCTGCAAACATTGAGAAGCGACTTTTATACCGTTATAAACATGAGTGCGTGGAGATGGTTATTTTTATTCTCTCTGGTACTGTGGAGAAAGAAAAGACATAAAGGAATTTCTCTGACAGTAGACGTGGACTAAGTAGGTGATATCTTTTATAGGAGTAAAGAATCTTGACTGGATTTCAGCCGGATGTGCCGAAGAATAAGGAGTAAGTATGAAAGTGAATGTTAATGAAAAGCTTGAATAGAGAAAAATTTAGAAGATGAAGATAATGTAGAAGAGTTTAGAAATTCAAATTATTTGATCATACCAATTCCTTTTAGGTGAGGAGAAGGGTGTTAAAGGTAACATGAAGAGTGCCCAAATAGATGAAGATGAAGGACGACAATTCAAGAAAAAACGGAAGACTTTCAGGAAAGCGGAATGGTGAGCAAGACCCCAACTAAAATCAAGGGTGGCAGAGAGGCTGTGATTTTGCGAAATTACTCTCTTGTTGAGTAAAAAAAAAAATGTTTTACAAGCAAAAGAACACAGATTCTAAAACTCTGAAGTTGTGTTCAAACCTAACACCTTTAACTCTGACCGATTTTTACATTATTTTTCCAAACAAAAATATAATGTGTATGAGGTATTTTATTTTCAATAACAAGTGATTATGCATGTAGAGATATTTATTGATTCCTTATCCAACTAACTTACAACTACAACCAATATGGCAGTAAAAGTGTTGTTTAAAAGTATATTTTCTGTATATATAAGTAGGCTCAAGTCATTAGCCAAGTAATTTTTATTCATTGCAAGTCATTATTTCTAGACTTTTCAAGGCTCTAACTTACCTGGGCTTTTGTAGGCTTGGGTGATACACCTCTCTCCTCCGGTGAAGGACTCTTACTTTTTGACAGTAGCTCACCAGTCTTCTGAGGGCCAATAACATAATTCCATGAAAAACTATTACTTTTCCAAACTTTAGCTATAAGTCATACCATTTCATTGATCTAACTGGTCTAAGAAGTTCTTATTATGTTTCTCGATAAATTCTTGGATCTGCAATAATACCTCTGGACAGTGGCTATTTGACATGTGTAAGTATGGACTGATCGAAGTGCGTATAAATCTATTTCACTCAATTTTGCAAAAAACATAAACCTCTTCAATAAATCTTGGAGTAGTAGTAGAGTGTACAGATAAAAGTCATAAATGGTACTTTAATTTAGTAGAGTAAAACCATTTAAACTGTATCACTACAACACAAAGTATTGTTTATTATAAATCCAACTCACAACAAAGGCTTCAGGTAGGGGTCCAAATATGCGATCCATCTCCTCTTGAATCTGGTCCCTTTCGTGGTCAAGTCTGTGAATCAAATCTTCCACCGCCTAAACACATTCAAAAGGAATTAATTTATACTTTTCTTTCTCTCCCTATCCATATCTATTATAATTATTATAATATTATCTATTATTTTTGAGATTATATATATAATTTATTATAATAATGGAGAAGGTGCGGTACTGTTTTTGTCCAAATTTTTGAGTTTGTAAATGAGTACACAGCTGTAGTATCTCCAAGCATTTTTTAATGGTTTTGAAATCATTTAATTTATGGTGATTTTTCCATAAAAACTTTTAAAATAGCGAGAAAGTTGTATTTTTACAAAATCTACCAGAAAACTTTGATTCAAACAGCAGTATCAAAAAGCAAAAAAGGTCGTTAAAACCTCGTAATTTGGTTAAAAAAACATCCACCCACAAAATCGCTTTTTCCAGGTTACTTATAAAAAATCTACAATAAAGTCTTAAAGTTTGTCAGCAAATTAAGAAAATTTTAATAATAATTGTTGACAGTTCAGTCATAACTATAATTTTTTACCTTCTGTTGTTTTGGATCCATTCCTGGTTGGACTTCAATTTTCTGAAAATAAATTAAAAAATTATTATAGTTTAATCGGTTACAAAACTTTTTAATTGGTCCAGCAATTAATTGCCATGGGTATAATTCAATATCAAAACTAAGGTTTATTAATGGTTAGGTAATTTATGGGGTTGTTATAAAGTTATTTATATATTGTAAAAAATTGTTTATCTTAAATCTAATAATTTATATTAATTAATTAATAATTAAAGGTTTAGTTGAAATCTTACCTCTGGTGGTTGTCCATCACGTTTTATTTCAATAACCTGCAACAAAATGTGTAACCTATGATGCAAGTATGATATTCTTCAAATTATATTCTGTATGATGGAACCTGTCTTCTTATTCTCCTTCTTCCTGGGGACTGGCATTTTTTCTAAGTCCCATCCCATGCCCAGGTAGACAGGTTCCATCATACAGACTATATAAAAACTATGTCAACATGTTCCATCAACTTACAGGGATCAAAGTTAAATTAAAATATAAAAATAGCCATAAACCATACAATCAAAGTTTCTTTAGCAGATTTAAAAGTGCTTTGGGTTCAAGCCCTTGATTAATTTGGGTTTGAGTCCTTGATTAATTTGGATTTAGGCTAAAAAATTATCGTTTTCATCAAGTTTGACTTATGAAAATTTTAAAGTCTGCCATTTTTTATTTACAGTAAGTATAAGGTTCTATAATAAATATTTTAAAACTTTTTATGACAAACACTTTTAGGTACTAAGTTTCATAAAAATATCACAGCTTTTTGAGTTATTAATCATTGTAAACTTATTATTGGTATAAAATCTGGTTCTTCGTTTTTATGACATCCTGTCTGGTAGCCTATTGTGAGCTAATAACTAGACAGCACTGTCTTCTTAAAAAAAATGGCAAAAATGCATTCTAAATTGTTTACCATCTCGTGTTGTCTAGTAATACTTCATAATTTAAAACAAAAATTTCTTTGGAACTACGGTGTAAACAAAATCTTTCTGAATATATGCAGAAAAAATGAAAGTACCGGTACTATTAATATAAATTACAAATAATACTTTCTCCGTTTACTATGTGTAGGGGGAGAAAGTAAAAAATGATTAAATATATCAAACAACTTTTAAAAACTTTTCCGATGTGATTATTTATATCTTATTCTCTCTAAAATTTGATTCCCCTCCCTAGAGGCACTGTAAATTTGTATGCTTACCATTACTTCTCTGTGGCTTACCTCCCTGACGATACGTGATCTGTTTCTACCTCCCTCCGCCATGCCTGGATGTTTATCTACAACATCAACAATTTTAAAAGTAAAAGTCTATTTTTTAATTGCCTAAAACCTTAGTTTTAAACTTAAGCTGGCATATCACAATCACTTAGGAAGAATGATATTATGTAGGTTGGATGCAAAGTAATTCCGTACTATGTCATCAAGTGTAAAAATAAAAGTAATAAAAATATTAGGAGATTTTGTTAAATAATAGTTTTTAACGAGAAAAACATTAAGCAAACGAGTTTGCTTGTTTCTGTGTCCAAGAGTGTTTTACGAAGAGAGGAAAATATAAAATATATTATAGTTGAAGGAAAATAGAAAATCTATTATAGTTGAAGGTCCTAGAAATGGTACCAGGAGATTATTGATTGAATTAGTGCTCGTAAAAGGGCCTCTCGTTTTGTAACAAGGTGATTAATTTAACCACTAAGTAAAACCATTTATCACCATTCAATTATTTATAACATTTTGCCAAAATCAAGTTTCCTTTTGTGCACGTGAAATCGGAGCAATATCACACCATAATTTTATAAGCAAGGGACTAGAAAATAAATATTTAAACACATACAGTAGGCCTACTATTAATAGCTTGCAAAATACGAATATTTACAAAATGCATACCGGTACCCAGAACACGAAAATAAAATTCACATTGACGTAGTACTTGCCATAAAACACGATAGGTCTGTACCAAAATAATTAAAAATACGGTCAGAAGTAAGTAACCCTTTACCTTGGAATTTTGCCTTGAACTTGAGATAATTTAGACGAACATGATCTAGGTGTTTGTAAACAAAAAATGATAACTCGATATTCATCATATGACAGGAAGCTATTCATTTGTTTTTTTATCATATGTTGAGTTGAAACAGTGCAAAATATTGAGGCAAACTCGGTTATTTGGCTAGAAACGCAAAAATTAGAACAGCGACTGTATGGATCATAAACATAAACAAATAACGTCACTGGCACGAAAGTAAACATATTTAAATTTATGTAATTGGAACTGTCAAAAACAGCTGTTATGGCAATTACTAATTACAGACATTCGGGTCGGTGACGTCATTTGGTTATGTTTATGATCCATATGGTTCATGTTAACTTATTATTTGCTAGATACAATTAAAATTACCTACGTGTAAAGTGCCGCACGTTCCGCATGGGAGATGGGGCATTAAAGTGATTACAATATTGTAATATTTGTAATTGCTGTTTTCAAGTATGCTAACTTTATAAAATTATAATATAACCTAAGAACCCTGATTTTTATTTTCTTCCATGGTAGTCTATGTTAAAGTAGTACCTAGCTACTGTATGTACAACAGTGCTTGGTAAATAATCAGGTCTCCAAATCGATTGAAAAAGTTTTAAAAATTCAATTACTTCAAAATCTGACGTGTATGGTCTTGCCTAAAGAAACAGCTGATTTATCCAACGAATCAGCTGTTCAATAGCGTACTATTGTTTAATAAGGATAGGCTACTTTTATAATTACCTACGTTCCAAATACAAGAATTAGTTTAAAGGAAGAGACGGAATTATACATGTAACCTATACATAGCAATTGTCATACAGTTAGGAGCACTGAGCTAAAATTATAACTGGAGGTAGCACTGCCATGGCAGAAGTCTGTCAAAAGCGAGTCGCTGATTTTGTTAGGTTGGTATAGCAGTAAGTTTTCTTACCATAGCAATAACATGGCTTCTTATAACTAGGTTGGTATAGCAGTGAGTATTTTTGTCATACTTGAATACTTTTAATACTTTAATAATTTTCTTTGAAATGGCGACCATACAAAGTAGGTATTTTAAGCCAAGTATAATAATAGTTATAGCAATAATATGGCTTCTTATGACACCAGACTCACGCAAACATGGCGGCTGGCGACACGCATCTTTGACATTCAGTGCTACCTCCAGTTAGAATTATAGCTCAGTGGTTAGGAGTCAGAGGTTCTGTTCTGGCAGCCTTTGCACTCGGCGACTCTGAGGTCTTTGGAGTCAGTGGTTCTATTCTGGCAGCCTTTGCACTCGGCGACTCTGAGGTCTTTGGAGTCAGAGGTTCTGTTCTGGCAGCCTTTGCAGCCGGTGACTCTGAGGTCTTTGGAGTCAGTGGTTCTATTCTGGCAGCCTTTGCACTCGGTGACTCTGAGGTCTTTGGAGTCAGAGGTTCTATTCTGGCAGCCTTTGCACTCGGCGACTCTGAGGTCTTTGGAGTCAGAGGTTCTGTTCTGGCAGCCTTTGCAGTCGGTAACTCTGAGGTCTTTGGAGTCAGTGGTTCTATTCTGGCAGCCTTTGCACTCGGCGACTCTGAGGTCTTTGGAGTCAGAGGTTCTGTTCTGGCAGCCTTTGCACTCGGTGACTCTGAGCCCTTTGGAGTCAGAGGTTCTGTTCTGGCAGCCTTTGCACTCGGTGACTCTGAGGTCTTTGGAGTCAGAGGTTCTGTTCTGGCAGCCTTTGCACTCGGTGGCTCTGAGGTCTTTGGAGTCAGAGGTTCTGTTCTGGCAGCCTTTGTACTCGGTGACTCTGAGGTCTTTGGAGTCAGAGGTTCTGTTCTGGCAGCCTTTTCACTAGGTGACTCTGAGGTCTTTGGAGTCAGTGGTTCTGTTCTAGCAGCCTTTGCACTCGGAGACTCTGAGGTCTTTGGAGTCAGAGGTTCTGTTCTGGCAGCCTTTGCACTCGGTGGCTCTGAGGTCTTTGGAGTCAGAGGTTCTTTTCTGGCAGCCTTTTCACTCAGTGACTCTGAGGTCTTTGGAGTCAGAGGTTCTGTTCTGGCAGCCTTTGCACTCGGTGACTCTGAGGTCTTTGGAGTCCGTTGTTCTGTTATGGCAGCCTTTGCACTCGGTGACTCTGAGGTCTTTGGAGTCAGAGGTTCTGTTCTGGCAGCCTTTTCATTTGGTGACTCTGAGGTCTTTGGAGTCAGTGGTTCTGTTCTGGCAGCCTTTGCACTCGGTGACTCTGAGGTCCTTGGAGTCCGTGGTTCTGTTATGGCAGCCTTTGCACTCGGTGACTCTGAGGTCTTTGGAGTCAGAGGTTCTGTTCTGGCAGCCTTTGCACTCGGTGACTCTGAGGTCTTTGGAGTCCATGGTTCTGTTATGGCAGCCTTTGCACTCGGTGACTCTGAGGTCTTTGGAGTCAGAGGTTCTGTTCTGGCAGCCTTTGCACTCGGTGGCTCTGAGGTCTTTGGAGTCAGAGGTTCTTTTCTGGCAGCCTTTGCACTCGGTGACTCAGAGGTCTTTGGAGTCAGAGGTTCTGTTCTGGCAGCCTTTGCACTCGGTGACTCTGAGGTCTTTGGAGACAGAGGTGCTGTTCTGGCAGCTTTTGCACTCGGTGACTCTGAGGTCTTTGGAGTCAGAGGTTCTGTTCTGGCAGGCTTTGCATTCGGTGACTCTGAGGTCTTTGGGGTCAAAGGTTCTTTTCTGGCAGCGTTTGCACTCGGTAACTCTGATGTTTTTGGAGTCAAATAATCAGATGGATCAGTCTTGAAAGGTGTCACCTTTAGTTGAAGATTGTGTACAGATGTCGAAGGCTGCTTTCCTACTCTAGTTGAAGATTCGTCCAACAAAAAATGCGATCCTGGTTTTAGAGAAGGCTCGATGTAATTAAATGGTGACGCTCCTATCAAATCATTTTGCGACTTTGACGAGGCGGGCGAAACCTATAAGAAAAACTCGAAATTATTTTTATTAATTTTATGAACTGTAAATAGGCTTATTTGTAAACTAGATTCAAGATTCAAGAAACAGGTCATTCTCATGAAATAATGTGTTTTTTGTAAAAATATTCTAGGCTAATTCATAATGTTAGGTCACCCTAAAAATAGACTTCGCTTTGAAAAGTGTGCACAAATACACTGTCTAGTTGTGTTTTAAGTCCCTCCGTCCATTCATATTTTTTACTCTAAAATTTTTTCATCTACGAAGTTTTTGTATTGTTTTACTAATTTAAAGGATCCTCGTCTCTAAAGAAACAAAAGATTTTCCTATGGGGAGACTAAACCTTCTCTAAATGTGATTTATAAAATGTATGGAAGTATTTGATGTAAATAACTAGTTTTCTATTTGATCTAAAAATATTCGGTATTAATTTTATTCTATTTAAACCTCTCTAATCTCACGAAAAATATACATAGGCAATTTTCGATCGTGAAAGGAGCTAAAAGGATTAACACTCTTGAGAATCCCAAATTAAATTTTACATTTCAAAACAAATATGTAATCTCGAAGATTTAAAAAATCTCACCTGAATTTTTTGTTTCGGCAAAGGAACCGTGCTAGTATGATATGATCTAACTCGTTTTACTTCCTTCTTCAGCTCCTCTACAGCTTTCAATAGTTTCGACAGAGTATTTGTAGCCTCTTGCTCCAAGATAGGTCTAGATTCTGGCTGTTTTGTACAAGCTATACATAATTTCCACGTATACCATGCCACAGCGTAGGGAACTAAACCTTCTAAAACATTAATTATGTCGAGCAGACGATCTTCTTTCTCTTTCAAAATTGCCAAGTCAAACTGATGCTTCTCTATTGACCTGATCAATTGACTTTTGGTTTGATCAATTTCTTGAACTTTCACAGGCATTTTCACACTAAACTTATTCACTTTTACACAGTTGTCACTTTTAGGCTAAGCAATTGTTGATGTAAGCTCGATTGAATACATTTCTTTTGTAATACATCTTAGTAGTTTGATAGTATTCTGCTTGGTCACAGTGTATGGATTCTAATTTGCATATGGAAATAAGTAGTGACTTGTAAAACAATAAATTTTGAATTGTAAACCAAATTTATGTAAATTGATAAGGTTAGCCAAATTGTACTGTGTGTACCGGTACTTGTTTTGAATTTGGAATTCTGTTAACTGTCAACATAAATCAGCTGTTTGAGTTATTGATTGAAAACCAACATTTTTAAATCATTCACCAGCTGGTTAATAAGAAAAATTCAAAGATCACGACCACAATTTTGCATTTCACTATGTAATTGGCATATTTTCATAATAAATACTGTATAAATAACACTGGCGCATAATTAAAATATTTATATTTTCAAAATATTTTCTTGTATTTTATTTATGTGTTTAGAAATATTTTTGGAAATAAAACACTCTTGCATTTTTTAAACTTATTCAATTCTGTTTCATGAAAGTATCAGCTCCTCGATTTCTCAGATAGTTACATTGTTTATTTTTCCTTTTTAGAACATGAATCTGGAAATTGACTTATTTTATTCAAATACTGTAAAATTTAAAGAAACGTAGTGTTTTTCGCGCCGTACATGTAACTGGAACTCCCAGTCAAACAGCTGTGAAGAGATGCTGCATTGCCAATTTTGCAGGGACTAGAAGAGTGCTATTCGGCAAATTGGACGTGCGTGCGTCTGCGGTATGTTCTGTATGGTGTTCGGTCGCTAGTTTTATATCGGAATAACGGAAGTGTTACAGTATAACAATTAAACTCAAACATACACATTACAACTTAATACACGAAAGCTACGTGCTGTAAACTAATACCGGTACCAATTGTTGTGAAACATTTCCCTTTCCACACTCAAATCAAATCAAATCATTTTATTGGGCCAAATTAACAATGATACAGTTTGCATTAGCCAGGTCAATACAAATATACTATACTATACATCAATTAATAATTCTAATATTTACAATAATAATTACAAATTAGAGCTTTCAAAACATTTCAGGAATTCTTGGACGCTATACCAGGTTATTTTTATTATACACTCATTTTTCATTTCATATTTGGGTTGAAATAAGCTTTAGTTGCGAATAAATCTGAAAGTGTATTGTATAATACAGTTTGTGACATATACTATAAAATGAAAAAAAAATAAGATCATTTTCTAATTGACATGCGTAATTCAATTCATAGTTATTTGTGCAACGGTTGAACGTGTGAGCAAGTCACCACCCTTCGATTAATCATTATAGCAAGGAAAAAAACAAATATTGAAATCTCCCCAAATTTACCTTTGCATCTAACAATACACATGTAGAACACTTCGGAAACATTTTTACAATTTTACAATAAAAATTATTGTTTCTTCTATGCAGCCTTAAAAAGACAGGTTAACGACAAGTTCTTGATTTTTTGCTGACAGAGTGGTAGAAGTCAATAAATAGCTTAGCGGCTTAGGCTAGTTAAATATGTAGAACCTCGATAACAAGACTCTCATGGGGATAATTAATAAGACTTGTTATCGAGGTTTGCAATAACATGTGACTATGGTAAAACAAATTCAAGGATATTAGAAAATGAGACTCGTTAGCAAGGGTGACTTGTTATCAAGGGTGACTTTGTTATCAACGGTGACTTGTTAACAAGGGTGACGTGTTATCGAGGTTCTACCTTATTAACCATCATCTAATCCCCCTGGCAGGCTTGCAGTTGATATTTGCCATTTGCATTGCTATGTGTTTGTTGTACCGTTGCAAAGTTGAACCTTGTACTTCCCGTCCCAACATTGCTGACTGTGATCGCTGACCTTCTAGGATCATTGAACCTCCAGGACCGCTGGGAGTGGGGCCGCCTTCAGGTGTCACCGGTCAAGTGGAGGGGAGGATGGGGAAAGACAAGTGTTTGTCGGTCAAGGTCAAGGTCGTCTCTCTCTCTCTCTCCCCCCCCCCTGTTGCGCAACACCCCGTTAACCGATGTTATGTTGTCGAGGTGATGACTTCACGCAGGTTCAACGACTTAGACCAAAGTGTCTTCTCAAGAAGGGTTCCGCCACTATTGAACTTTCCGTTGAATATGTAAACAAATAATGATGATGTAAAAAAACCACAAAAAATACATAGGCCACTCCACAGTCTACCCCCTTTACAAGAGTGCGGCAAATAACTAATTTCAGGTTTTAAAACTGCTCAGACTACTGACTTTGCATGCTCAAATCAACTGTTATACAGTGGAACCTCGATAACAAGTCATCCTTGATAACAAGTGTCATTTTAAAATCCTATAGACTTTATTTTACCCCTAAATACATGTTATTGGAATCCTCGATTGAAGTCAAACTTGAAAACAAGTCTTATTTATGCCACGTTGTCTTGTTATCAAGGTTCTACTGTAGTTCGTAGGTACATTCACAGTCCTCCTTGAACCTATCTCAGCGTCAGACCTCGTATCGACTCCCGACCGTATATATACGTGTATAACCATACCACTGTATAACCATACTGTATATGACTACCACAATTAGTAGTAGCATCTCCTCAGTCTATGGTAGTACAGTAGAACCTTGATAACAAGACTCTCAAGGGGATTGTAAAATAAGACTTGTTATCAAGGTTGACTTCTTATCGAGGTTTGTAATAACATGTGATTAGGGGTAAAATAATTTTAAGGTGATTTGAAAAAAACACTTGTTATCAAGGGCAACTTGTTATCGAGGGTCTTCTTATCAAGGTTCCACTGTAGTTATATATATCGATGCTACCGAGTACCAACGAACATGGAGGTTCTCGTTTTCGCTTAATTTTTTCAGTTAACTTCTTAGTAACATAGGCCTACTTGCTACTTAATAAGTATGACGCAGATTAAACAAAAAGAGGAGTATAAAATCCATAAGCCTCAACAAAAGCTCGGTTACCATGCAAGCTATTTATTTACAGAATAGTGTTCAAACAAAACGTGACTTGTAGAACAAATTCATGACTCAACATACTTTAACTGGACTCAGTGAGTCTATTTCAGCAAGGATCAGCAAATGGGATTACCCAGCATGCACTTGGGCAAATAAATTCAGTTGAATCCAAATATTTGCTAAATATCACAGAAGAATAAAGAGTCTACGTCTTGTGAATGTGATAACATAGAACAAACTGAAAACACCGTACCATACTGTGTCACAAATTAGACTTCAAGAAATTGTAACTATTGACTGTGTGTTTGTATTTTCAAACTAAACGAGTTATTCGAGAACTTGGATTTTAATACAATATTAGAACAAATACAATCGATATATTCCATAGCATTGAACATTTTTGACGCTACGAGCAAACCTTCGACAGCTCCAAAAGAAGCTACAAGAACAGATGTTTATTTCACTCATTGTTGTGTTTTTTCTTCCGTCACGTGGCCTCCAACGGCCTTGAACGGTAAAGTTCCAGATCTACGTTAACAGGTCTGGACTTGTTAATTTAGGAAGGGCAGCGCTAAACAAAACCCGACAGGTTATCGTGCCACTGTCGACTAGTTCCTGTTTGTTTACATTCGTTTTTAAAGATTCAATCAAAATAAAGATTGAGAAAGTAGTATAATGTAATTAATTTTACATCATACTACAGAAACAGGTACTTTTCCATCAGTATTGATTGGCTGGAAAGTTGCTATTTACCGTGCCTAAACACGGAAAAGTAACGTTATGTACTTTTACCGTGCACTGCACGGTAATAGTAGGCTATATTACGTTTTAGTCCTGAAAATAGGTGTTTACCGGACGAGTGTGGTCGTTCCCGTACGAGACGATGACGAGTGCGGTAAACACATTTTGGACGAGTTACGTGCGCCATACTACTAAATCCGTACAAATCCTTACTATATTTCCACCAACTAAACGACTAAAAATCACTATAGTCATAACCTTATGTTTTTGTTTATAATCACCCATTGCCATATAAATTTTATAAATACAGTCTAATCAGCTGATTGGTGTCCGGTAAAACTCATTGCAGTACAGTAGTAAGCAATGAACCCCCATTTAGTCACAAGTATTAAGTCCAGAAAACAGCTGTTTGCCGCCAGCTTATTCAAATGGGGTTTCATTGCGTACTACTGTACTGTAATGAGTTTTGCCATACACCAATCAGCTGATTATACTGTATTTAGGTGACAAATGAATGAATATTATAAACATAAACATAACCTCTCTTAGAGGTCATGACTAGTGATTTTTAGTCCTTTAGTTGGTGGAAATATATAAGGATTTGTACAGATTTAGTAGTACGGCGTAAACTATCGTACGTAACTCGTCCAAAATGTGTGTACCGGACTCGTATGGTAATCCCGTACTCGACTTCGTCTCGCACGGGAACGACCACACTGGTCCGGTAAACACTTATTTTCAGGACTAGTAACGTAATATACTATTACCGTGCACTTAGTCAGCTGATGAAATAAACAGCTGTTATGTACTTAATAAATTGTGTTATGCGTTTAGTGAACTAGTTATTCTGTGTATTATGGTGTAAAATATCGTACGTCACTCGCCCGGTAAGCTTTAACGTGCTCACACGATAAAATCCCATTTACCGGGCTAGTAACGTAATATTCTATTCCAATATAGAATATTCGGTATGGTGAATAATTTAACATTCAATAAATACGGATAAAGAATTCAATAGTCGGTAATTCTGATTATATAACTTTACTGTCACCTTGGGTACTTTTTTATGTGTTTTATGTTCATGCAAGGGTGCGGTGAAACCCCTAGTATTGTTTTCTATTTAACTTCTATCTTTTGTTAGCACCATTAGCTGAAGATACCAATTAACACGTTTTATCATACAGCTACCCATGTTACAATTTTCTATCTCGTATTTTAAATATTTAACACTAATGGTTGTTAATTCAGCATCGTAGGTTTACACGTTTGTACAAAAAATCATAGAAATTGGATGATTCTTACTGGAGTGTCATAAATATAAATACATACAACGAATGTACATTAATTTGTACTCATCAAAAAGAAAAAGTATTCGGTGCAGTATCCAGGAAACGGTAATAGCTATTTCGGATCATTTCCTATTTGAGAAATTCATTATAAGATCATAATTTA